AGGGCTGGGCTGCAGCTGCAGGGGCTCCCGAGAGGATACTATGGGACATAGCAAGGCCAGACCTTCACTGCAAGGACGTGCTGAGCCAGCGCTGTTTGCTGGTCTCTGTTCTTAACGCCCACGTGGCCCTGTTCTGTTACGCCCACCTGGTGACCTGCCTCTGTGGAGTGACTGAGGGACAGAGCAGCTCCTTCCTTGGTGTTGGGCTTGTGAGAAGAGCTGGAGTGAAGGTCTGGGGGAGGTTTGAACTTGGGTCCCCCACATGCAGCCTGCCCCCCATCTGTCCTGCAGAGCAGTTGTGGTACAGGCCGCGTGTGTGACAGCAGGAAAAAGTGAGGGGCAAGCTCAGGGCAGGTGCAGGAGTGGGCCTGCCCGCAGTGACCCGGCTGTGCTCCGATCACCTCCTCTTGACCCAGTGGAGGCATAAGGCCCCCCGTGGACATTTGGGACCACTTCCTTTTAAGGAGATTTCTCCTTCCATCCCCACCCCTGAAAAAAAAACAAACCTATGCATGGAAGAGGAGAACTTATTAGAGACCTTTCTGACACCCCTGGATGCTGTGCAGGGTCACCCCCGCAGGCCAACCTTCTCCCCATGTCAGGGTCAGCTCTGCAGGCTGCTCCCCACCTTCAGCCTTTGTCCTCATCAGCAGAGCCCTGAGTACCTTTTAGGCTCACATCCTTTGCCATAGGGAGGGGGCCTTATGCCTGGGTGCTGTGACGCCCTGTGAGGAGCAAGCTGGGGCACCTTTGGAATTTCCTTGCTCTTTGGAGGAGTCATGTTTCCACTGGGCTAACGTGGCAGCCATCTTGTGACCATGAGGACAGCCTGGAGTGGAGATGGAAGGGAAGGAGCCTTGCTCTTGATGTTGTCCTCGAGGCTTTGAAGTTACCAGCCCTGTCCCTTCTGCCCTTGGATAGGTGACTGTTTGGTCCATCTTGAGCTGAGTTTTCTTTTATTCTTGGCTGAAAACACCCTAACTAACAAGCACAGATCATTTCCAATATTGATACCTTGTGGGAGATTCTGGGCTGAGCTGCCTTTGGCACGGAAGATGGACCCTGTCCATTTTTGCTCTGTGGGCCCTGGTGGCTTGTCTGTGCCTCTGTCATCAGTTAGGAAGCCTGGAGGGTGAATGTCTTCAGGACCCCTGGGCTGTGCATGGAGGAGACTCCCCGAGTGTCAATGAGGGGTCCTTCTAGGTGGGCGGGTTTCCCATCAGCGAAGCTCCAGGCTTGTGGTGGGTGGTTGTGATCTAAGCAGATGGTCAGAGCCTTCTTTAATCATGCTGTGGAGCACGTCCTTCCAGACACTGGCGTTCGTTTCCTGCCTGTGGCTGTATTTGGTGAATCTGTAGACACGGCACAGCTGGGCCCCACGTCCAGGCCTCTGCCACCGTCCCCGGAGTGGGTCTCCACCTGGCTGGCTGGCAGTGTGCTGACCACTCAGGTGCTAGGGGTTGATGCGCTCTTCAGGTCGATCTCGGGCTCTGAGGACACCACTGAGTATTGGGGAGTCCCCTGGAGCTGTGGGCGGCCCACCCTCCTCCTAGATGCCCCTTCTCTACTGCGGTTCCCAGGCTCCCGTTCTCCACGAGTGTGTGAGGCCGTGAGAACTGGTGGCGCGAGGGACTTGCTATGGAGTGTTCCGTATCCTAGAGGGACTTGGGCCCACATGAGCTGCTGGCCTGAGGTCACCTTCTTACCTCTGCAGTGACATGCGGCACCTCAGAGTGTGAGACTCGGATGTGTGCAGTGGGACCCACAGGCCACCTTCTTCTCTTTCCCTGGCCTCTGCTGACATGAGGGGCTGGATGCTCACCCTGGTGGCTCAGGGAGATGGGGTGTGAAGAGGCTGTTGGGAGAGTGGCTGGCATCGTGGAGACGGCCTGTGGCCGGTGCTGCTTCAGAGGGAGCCGTAGACAGAGTGTCTGCCGCCAGGAACCTTGGGACAGCTTTGATGTGGGCAGTGCAAGAAGCAGCCCGGGGCCCCAGAGCAGGGCGGACAGGACCCCAGGTGCTGTGCAGCCTTAGCAGGTCAAGACGGGAGCCTGGCCGTGCCTTTCAGCCATCTGTGCACTTCTTCTCCCCATCCCCCCTGGAGAAATGTCTAGACGGTGATGGAGTAAAAAGCTCAATTACTGAGCAGGAATTTGGCCAGCAGAGAGCTGCGAGCAGACAGCCCCGGGCGAGGATTGCAACTGAGAATGAACCCCACTTGGATTTGAAGGACCCTGAAAGGCCAGGGGCTTGCAACCAGCCAGCACCTGTGCGGAGCAGGGCCAAACAGCCCCTAGAGGCAGCTCGGCCTGCGGAGAGCGCAAAGCTGGCCTAGCCTGCGTCTCAGCGCCAATCCGTCCCTTGCAGGGATTTCTGCCTATAATTAGAAGCCTGGGAATTAGAGCCGTGTGCTGGAGCGCGAGTCCAGAGCTGTTTAGCCCGGCTATTCCTTGGCCATGGGAAGTCCCTCCACTCAGCCTCAGTTTCCTCAGGAACCTTGGGACAGCTGTAAAACGGGCAGAATCAGGTTCCGAGCCCTAAGTGTCCTGGAAGGGCTTTGTTTGGCAGGTTTATTCCTTTCATGTGAATTCAGGGTTATGTGACCAGGCCCCCTTCCCCTGGCCATCCTATCGCTCGTTCTGTCTTACGATGACTCTTCATAATCCCTGACGTTGTCAAGTGAGTAAGAACCTAGACCGAGGTGACAGTTCGGGTGGTCTACCAGTGCAGTGCGCCCCTCCTCTGTGTCTGAGGGGGGATTGGCCCCTGCGGGGACCTCTGGGCTCTTCTCACCGGTGTCCACCTTCCCCAGGCCTATGTGGCTGTGCCAGTGTGGACCACTCTGTTGCTCTCATGGCAGGCTTGTCCGTGGGGTGCTCTGGGCCCATTGTGGCAGCAGGCAGTGTCCCTGGAGGCCTGACTCTCCCAGGGAGTGTGGATGGACAGCAGGCAGGACTGGATGCCACCCTTGTGGGATGACTCCCCCGCCCCATGGCTTCTCCCAAAGCAGTTGCCCCCTTCCCAGCATCCCCTAGGCTTGAGCTCAGCCCTTGGGACAGAAGACACGGGCAGAGCTGTCTTTAGGTCTCTGCTGTCTAATGCCCCGAGACATGGAGCTGCTCCTGGCTGCCTTCCCAGGAGATGGAGGGGTGGCCATGCGCAGTGAACCCTGCCTGGAACCGTCTTGCCTGGCTCCCAGTTTGTGCCTGAGCCCCTGTTTGGGTCCCACCTTGGCCTCCTGTCTGCAGCCCTCTTTCTTTGGGTGGAAGGCTGACCTGCCCCAGCAGCCTCTGCCACCCCTGCCTGTCCTTCGAGGCCATCCCTTGGGGACAGGCCAAGTGCACGTCAGCAGCCCCCAGCCCTGCCCCTCTCTGCAGTGGTTGCTGAAGTCATTCCTGGCACAGGCTGCTGGCATGGGCCCAGAGAGTCACATGAGGCCGAGTTCCCTGTCTGCCTTGGATGCTAAGGACGATGAGGAACGCGGGGAATGCTGCAGGCTCTGGCCACAGGGACCCCAGGGGGAAGGGTCACAGTCAGGGCGGAGCTGTGTCTTGCTAGGTGACGGCACACTGGCCTGTGGCAGCATAGGTGGAGTTTCCCCATGGGAGTTTGCAGGGACCCCCGTTAACAATGGTCAGCACCTGGCTTGGCTGATGCTAATGCCAGCCCTGACTCTCTGTCCCTTGGTTCTCACAGTAGACAGTGAAGCAGGTGGACCACATTATCTCCACTGTCCAGATGAGGAAATTGCAGGCCCCAGTGGTTGAAGCTCAGGCCTGGCCCCGTCTGTGCTCTTGACCTGGAATGGTGCTCTCCTGGGCCTTGTGTCTGTGAGCTGAGGGCGTCCTCCTCCTCACAGTCTGCTAGTCACTATAGGTTCGCACCCCTTCTACATTCCTTTCTTCCTCCTTGAGTTTTCTCAGCCAGCATCTCCTTATCGGGTGTGTTGGGGCAGGAGGGCGCTGTGTAGCAGACAAGGGGGTCCCAGGGTTGAATCTCTCTCTCTAGAGTGACTCGTGTCCTCTTTTGTTAAATGGGCATAATGACAGCCCCAGTTCATCTGCAGGTGCTGCCCTGTCCCTGGCAGAGGAGATGTTAGAGCAGCCCACCTCTGCTGCACCTGGCCCCTTGGCCTCTTTGTTTCAGGTGGGCACATTCGGGGACAGGCTCGACTCTGCTCTCTGGCCTAATCCATGCCAGACTCCGTGAAGTTGAAGGAGCTCAGAGCTCAGGAGGGAGGTTGCTTGGCTGTGCCAGAGGCAGGAAGAGAGCGGGGCCTGAAGGTGCCCCTGAAGGAACAGGGAGGCCCCGGGCCCTTCCTCCAGCCCCTCGGTCCTGGGACTCTCGGAGGGGCTTGATTGGGTCCTGTCTTGTTCTAAAGAGCTGTTCGGGGCTTCCAACTTCACGCTGCCTTGATAGGGTGTTGGGGATGGACTCCTGCCCAGGCTGGGGAGCAGAAGCAGAGATGGTGCTGGGGACCTTCTCAGGACAGGAGAGGTAGCCCACTATTCAGGTCTTGGATGCTGCTGGCCCCTGACCATCCCTGTGCCTACCCAACAAGTCAGCAAGTCCCTGGTGGCAGGACCCAATCCTTGGGCCTTGGGAGGAGTGAGCATGTGAGAAATGGGCAGGTTCCCTGCTTCCCCAGAGGCCCATGTGGGCTCAGGCTCCTGCCTGGGCCTCTGCCCCCCAACAGAAATGCCAAACCCAGTTTTTCTTCCCCTGTTGTTGGCCTTGAAGGTTCAGAGCAAGTATCTGCTGGGAGCTTTGAGCTGTGGTGAGACCCTGGGGTGGACTCCGTGGGGTCTGGCCTCAGTGTTTACTTGCGACAAGTGGGTTAAGCGGGTTCCCTTGCCCCCAGAAAGGCGTGTGGGTCCTGAGCCCAGCCCTGCATGGGCTTGGTGCATCCGTACTTGTCACCGCTCGGGGCTCCACCGCGTCTGTGCTTTTATCCGTCTTGTCACGTGAAACAAGCAGCAACGCCAGCCCTGTGGTTGCAGGGGAAGCTGCCGGTCCTGCTGCTCGGCCGCTCCTCGGAGCTGCGGCCAGGAGAGTTCGTGGTCGCCATCGGGAGCCCGTTTTCCCTCCAAAACACCGTCACCACAGGGATCGTCAGCACCACCCAGCGGGGCGGCAAGGAGCTCGGGCTCCGGAACTCGGACATGGACTACATCCAGACGGATGCCATCATCAACGTGAGCCGGGCCCCCCCTCCCTCCACCCGCTGGGGACTGGGGCAGGCTTTGCCAGAGGAAAGTCAGGCTTAGAAACCAGGTGTTGAGTCAGGATCCTTGTAGCACGGGGGTTCCCATTGAACCTCTGAAGCAGAGGGATGCCGAAGGTTGGCAGCACCCAGAGTGATCCCTGCCACTCCTACAACAGGGGCCTTAGACTTGCCAGAGGGCTGCATGGCAAGGGGATCCTCATCCTGCCCGGGGGGTTGCTGGCTGCCCTGCCCCACAGGCCCCTTGGGCACATTGAGGATGTGCAGATCCTCCCTTTCTGGCAAGAGGGCCACTCACTTTGCAGGGCCCTGTAGCCTCGAGGTGGCCTGAGCTCTGCCCTCTGCCCTTGCCCTAGGCCACAGCCTGAGTGCTGGGCCTGTGCCCCCATGCCCTCTCCTGAGACTGGAGCTCTCGGTGCTGCTTCAGAAATGGACTCCCTCGAGCACCACGTTTCTCTTCTTTGTTTCTGAGAGCAACTCCCCCCACCTCTGTCTGAGAAGTCAGAAATGGTGTGTTGGTGCAGCCTCTGCCCCTCGTAGGTTTTATTCTCAAACTTCCTTCCAATCTGCATGAGGTTCTGGAACCAGGACAAACCATATGAATTCCAGCCTCAGCAGCAGACAGAGGACCTACCAAGGGGGCTGTGCAGATTTGGACCCCATGATCCAGGAGCAAGTGGGCAGTGGGCCTCACCCCAGGCCAAGAAAGTGGGATTAGAGGCTGTAGGGCCTCTGAGTCTAAGAGCCCCCAATTCCCCATCTATGGCAAACCCTTAAGTTTCTGAATCGTTATGAATCTCAGGGAAGAACCGTACCCCATACTCCAGGCCCGGTGCTCAGAAAGCCGCCAGGCAAGGACAGATTGAAGCATGTTATGACACAAGTATAACCTTTCTTTTTCTATTTATTTCAGTACGGAAACTCGGGAGGCCCCCTAGTAAACCTGGTAAGGCCTGTCAATACCCATGTCGTGGTTTGTTTTTATCTGTGTGCATGCTGTTTTGTTTTAATTTCTTTCTGAACATGAACTTGCAAAAGCATGTTATCCAGTTCTTGTAAAGTGAGCTCTGAATGGACTGTATCTCTGCATATCACCCTATACACCTTTTCTGGAAGGAGTAGGGCTGCCAGAGTTGAGGCTGGGGAGGGAAGGCCCTGGGACATGCTGGTGTTCACAGTCTCAGGCCAACACAGTGGAGTCCGGGGCCAGTCCAGGCCAGTGAGGGAGCAGCTTTGTGCTGAAGGTCTCAGCAGAGCTGTCCGTTGTAGGGAGCACCTCCTCCAGATCCAGTCCCCAGGGCAGGGAAGCAGGGAGGAGCTTTCCCAGGCCAGGAGCCCTCCCTCAAGACCTGCAGGAATGAGGAGGAGCAGGCTGCTTACAGCATCTCCCTCCCTCTGAACTTAAATCCTTGAGCATGAAAAGCAAAACCTGGAATCACAGACTGTCAGAGCCAGAGCGAGGCTCAAGGGCCACTTAGAGATGCTGGAATCAAGGTCATCTTGGGCAAGGCCCGGACAGTGGTGCCTCCTGCAGAGTCCCTCAGTCCCTTGGTATTGGGCCTGAAATCTCAGCACTTGCAGGAAGTGTGAGAGGTGATTGATATTGTCTTGGCAGTCTTCCCTGCCCTGCAGAGGAAACTAAGAGGTGCAGCTCTGACACTGCCCTGCCCTCTGTCTCCCGGTCAGTCACAGCAACATCTGTGGAGACACTTTCCTGCAGGGGTGGGGGGCGTCAGCTCCCAGGCTCTAAGGTCATTTCTGACATCAGTGAGGCAACTATTGCCTCAAAGTCACTGGAAATGGGAGAGGCAGGAAGGCCACCTCAAGATTCAGAGATTGGGGAAATGCATTCGCTTTGAGAGGAGCCAACATTGTGTCTTGAAACTGCACACAGCTGTGGCCTGTGCTCTGGCCTGGGGTGTGTGCTGCTTCTGAAGCTGACTGCCCATGTCCAGGCCTCTTTCATACAGACCCTCTGCTCCCCGGGGGTACCAGCTGCCAAGCCCCAGGCGACGCAGTAAGCCATTTCTCCTTGTTTCAGGACGGTGAGGTGATCGGCATCAACACTCTGAAGGTGACCGCCGGAATCTCCTTTGCAATTCCATCTGACAAGATCAAGAAGTTTCTAACCGAGTCCCATGACCGGCAGGCCAAAGGTAAGCAAGGTCCAGAGAGCCTGGGACTTTGGAGATCAGTTCTAAAGCTTTACTGCCCCTTGATGATATGGGGCGGGGCACAATGGCAGTCCCTAAAACCAGTCGAGTAGGCTCCTATCAGGAATTGAAAGGGGATGCCCAGGACTAGCCAGCCCCTGGTACCAGGTCACAGGTATTGGAGCATTTTTGTCCTGTGATCATGGATATTTCATTTGGTTCTCATTCTAGTCTGTCTCAGGCATGGGCCCAGGTGACTTCTGTGCATTTTATCAGTTATCATTACATCATTTGACTCCTGTGACCCATTAGGTAGGAATGAACAGTCCCATTTCAAGATGAGAAAACTGAGATTCAGGGAGCACATTCGTTCTGCAGATGTCTGTATCCACCTGCTCTGAGGCGGCTGGGGACTGGGTGTGGGCAGCCCACAGGGCCCCTTGCAGGTGTGATGTTTATGTTATGCTGTGGAGGGCGGAGCTGGGGGCAATCAGACAGATAACATCACATAGCAATAAGTGCCCCAAGAAAATGAGGCAGGCGGATGGCCAGGGAGGGACAGGCAGGACTGACCGTGGAGCCTGCGAGGCAGGAGACGCCTCCCAATCCAGACTGGGTGAGCGGGAGCCAGCGTGTGCGTGGGTGGGGGGCAGTGCAGACAGAGGCCAGTGGAGTGGGCACAGACAGCAGGCACTTGTCCCCTCGAGTGGCCATGAGCAATCACCCAGGGCGGGAGCAGGAAGCCAGCCAGGGCCAGGAGCGAGGCTCACGCCACCAAGGTGTGGGGCCTGTGCTGTGTCTTAACTGCTCGGGAACAGGGAAGCCTATGACGGATTGCTGTCACTGGAAAGAAAGGCCACTCTGGCAGCCAGCTGGGAGGGGACTGCAGGGTGAGGTGGGAGCTGGAGGCCTGTTAAGAGGCTCTGGCAGTCCTCCAGCCGAGAGGCCCAGGGCAAAGTGGAGGGGGAGGGGGCAGAGGGCCAGCCTGGGGGAGGGCCAGAGGTCAGTGACAGTGAGGATTAAGGACTCCTCCTAGGGTTTTGTCTACTAACTAAGATGGAGGGACTTTTCCAAGGTCCCATAGCAGGCAGGAGTCCAGACCAGCATGCACCTCGGTCCCAGGCTATGCCGCCCTGGCCCTGACCCTGCGTTGCAAACTATAGCATCAGACCCCTGGCTCCTGTCCCCGCCACCCCTGCCAACTGGGCTGACCTGTTGTCCCTTTTGTTACACCAGGGAAAGCCATCACCAAGAAGAAGTACATAGGGATCCGAATGATGTCACTCACATCCAGGTGGGTAAGCAGGAGCGTGTCTGCCTGCACTGAGGTAGCCCCGAATTTCACCAGGCTGGCACCCCGAGAGAGAAGCCATCTCAGCTTCTGCTCAAACTTAAATCACACTGGGAGGAGTAGGGCTGTTGCCTGGCCCTCTGTTTTGTTTCCCCGTTTCTGTCCTCTGGAGGACTCTGCCTGCTCTCGGACGCAGCCTGAATGGGGCTGGCCCTTGGCTCTCAGGCCGTCCTCTCACCACTTGTTCTGTTGAAACCCACATTCCAGGAGTTCCCCACGCGCCCGCCCAGCCCCAGAGCACCTCTCCTTGGCCTTGAGGCCGTGGGCCAAGGCGGGAGGAATGCCAGGGCGGCCCGCCAGGGACACGGTGACTGATGGGGGGGGGGAACCTGGATACCTGGATGGGAAAGGGGTATCTGTCCCCGCCCCAGCACAGCAGGAGCCGGAGTGGCAGGAAGCAGGACGCATTCACAGACATGTGGCTCGATTACTAGCTCATCCTCACTGTTAGCACATTGTGATGCGTGTTTTGGATGATAGCACCTTCCTTAGCATTCCAGAAGATGGGACGGTTTTTCAAGATTAAAGTCACCCAGTTAGTTATCTCTGGAACCAAAGAGGCCGGGGTGCAGGGACGGAGCACAGGCTGAGTGGTCTGGCTTCCCAGCTCTGACGCTTCCCAGCTGTGACCCCAAGTGCTCAGGCCTCTTCTAGGATGAGGATAACAATGCAGGTGTTCCTGCTGTGCAGCCAGGTTTGGCTCCGTGAGTGGTGGCAACTGTCACCAGCCACAGTGACTATCATATGCTTACTCTGTGCCAGGAACTGGGTTGGGCACCTTACCTCGATGGCCTCATCTGAGCCTCATCACAACCCATGTCCTAGAGTACCATCACTAGCCCCATGTTGTAACTGAGGAAGCAAAGACACAGAGAGGTTAAGCAATTGCCCATGGTAACACAGATAGCAAATAGCAGAGCTAGGGCTGTAGACCAGGCCAACCATTAGACTGTCCTGCTCCTTCAGGGTAATTGCTATTAACTAACTAATAAATAACAGGAATAATAATAATCAAGTGCTTCTTTACTATCACATAATAAACCTTTGACTCTAGTAGTAGAATTTAAAGTAGAATTGGAACTCTCGAAGGAATTTTACTTAGGACTTGGGGCAAAAGGTGAGTGTCAGCAGAGGACAGTCTGTTGGTACTTAATGTTAACACGAGTCTTTTTCTCCCGGCAGCAAAGCCAAAGAGTTGAAGGATCGCCACCGAGACTTCCCTGACGTGCTCTCGGGAGCCTACATCATTGAAGTAATTCCTGATACCCCTGCAGAAGCGTGAGTGCCACGTGCTTTCCTGATCTCCTCATGGAGCAGTGCTCTCTTTATACTGGCTCAGTGATTGTGTCCACTCTTGATAAATGTGGTCAAGGTCAGCCAGGTCATCTGATCTGGTCCGGAGCAGGACTCATTCATGGAAGGGCATTTCCTGCCTTCCAAGGTCCTCACTTCCCTAGGGGTCATCAGGTGGGAAGAGCAAGAGCAGGCTCTTCTGGAGTCTGGGAAGGCTGGCTGGGGAGAGAGGGTTCATGCAGCTGGGTCCCCACGACCTCAGGACCTGTCAAAACCTTTGGAAGAGTAACCCCAGTGACATCAAAGCAACATGAAAGAAATGTTTAAGTCAATGATCAGGGTGTGTGACCTGCACTGACATAACGTCCAGAGGGAGTGTAGGACCACAGAGCAGGCCCTGAGATAGCCTGGCCCACTGCCTGCTTTCCTATGATCCATGGGCTGAGATGACTTTTGCCTCTTTACTTAGCTGTAGATATTCCAAGGCAATGATAGCATTTTGTGGCATGTGAAAATGATGCGAAATGCAAATATCAGTGTCTACAAGTGTTTTACTGGAATTCAGCCCATTAGGTTACAGACCATCTGTGGTGGTTTTTGTGTTGCTGTGGCAGAGTCGTAGCAAGACAGACGGAGTGGCCTGCAAAACCCAAATCATTTCCTATCTGGCCTTTTATGAGGAAAGTTTGCACCAGACCATGAAGGGCCATGATGGCATAATGACACTGTCATATAGGAGCTAAAGTTGCAGCTTCAGCATGTGGAGGAAGTGCCTCCTAAGAGAAGCATTTGCCCATCCTGAAGGAATTGTTCTCTGGGCCGCAAGGCTCATTATAAGCAATTTGGCCACGGTCACAGTGTGTGGCAGATGGTACCTAATGCATCCTTGCCCCCTTTGGTATGTCATAAGATTACAGGAATGCCATAGGGACATAGGAATTTCTGCCATGATTGATGATTTGGCCTGTAAATCTCAGAAGGAGATACAGTGCACGGGTGATTTAAAGTCATCCTTTCCTGAATTCAACCCACACCTGGTCACCCTGGGCCTTTTGGTTCTGTGCTGGGCCTCTGTTGATGTAGAGTTAAACTATGAGGAATGGAAACTTGACCCTTGTGTTTCCTGTGCGTTGCAGCGGTGGTCTCAAGGAGAACGACGTCATAATCAGCATCAATGGACAGTCGGTGGTGTCTGCCAATGACGTCAGTGACGTCATTAAGAAAGAAAATATCCTGAACATGGTTGTTCGCAGGGGCAATGAAGACATTATGATTACAGTGATTCCCGAAGAAATCGACCCCTAGGCAGAGGCATGAGCTGGGCTTCATTTTTCCCTCAGAGACTGCGGTGGACCATGCGTGAAGACTCTGGGCTGGTGGCTTGGCATACCCAGGACTTTGGACCGCCATTTTGCTTGTTCAGTGGAAACGCCCCAGCCAACAGATTCCTTCCTGATAGTGTTCAGGCAAAACAAATGTAATGTTGCAGATCCTCAGGCAGAAGCTCCGCCCTTCTGTACCCCATGTATGCAGCGTGCTTTATCTTGCCAGCTTGGGCTCTTCCTGCTTAGACAGTCAACACCTGTCTCCTCCTTTAACCAAGTCATCGTCTTAGTCCAGCTAATGCAGTTGACGAATTGTGTAGATAAGAGGAAGGCCTCGCAGGAGCCAGAACAGTCCTGGGCATGTTCGTGCTTTCCTCTGAGTCAGCACCCAGAGGAGGAGGATGCTCAGAGACCATGGATGGGTGGATGCTGGCTTCCGAGACGGCCAAGTCCCTCTTTTAGGAATCTTCAGAACAGAGAGTGCGATGACTCTGAGTTTGAGCTATTAAAATACTTCTTCATACATTGCTCTCTGGTGTGCTTCTTTTAACAGCTGGTTGCAGTCTTTTTGAAACAATCATAATGTCAATGGCTCCTCATTAAACCACAATGTCCATGCAGGGTTGGGCTCTCAGTCCTACCAGTTATTTCAAAACTATCCTTTCGGATTTACCCGAGTTATACAACCCTGCTTGGACACCGGCTTTGTGATTGAGGGCCGCAGGACAGTTCTGCACACATCTGGAGCTCTTCTAACTAGACAGAGGCTGTTGACCTCATATATCATGCAATCAGTCAACAAGGATTTTCTAGGCCTCTGCTCTGTGCCAGGCCCCGGGCCAAGTGTGGAGGGCTGGTCAGAGCAGGACAGAGGCAGGACAGTCAGCTTCGACTGAGAAGCCAGTTCTCTTCCTGGAAGGCAGTTTGGGAGAGCAGGACAATCCCAGGACTGACCCATTCTAAGTCCCCAGGATGTACAGGGCTGTGCCCACCCCATTTGTCCTGGGTCTGAAATAAGAACCAGACCTCAAGCCGCAGAGTTTGGGGCAGTGTTTCTCGGTAGGTGTTGCCTGCAACAGGTGCAGCCTCGAGCAGCTGGAGGACACCTTTCCTTCCAGGGAGGATTTCTAAGAGTGTGGGAAGCTGGACCCAGGAAGGCTGTCGCAAGGCTTGGGCTGGGATGTGTGCACAGGCCTGGGTCCCTGTGGGGAGCACACACCAGGGGGAAGGCTTCTTACACCAACCACTGCCAGGCAAAGGTTGTGTAGTCCTTGGCCGCCAAGGGTCTTGGCTGGGGTGGTGGCTCAGTGGCAGAGCACTCGCCCAGCATGTGTGAGGCACTGGGTTCAATCTTCTGCACCACATAAAGATAAATAAATAAAGGTGTTGTGTCCATCTACAACTAAAAAATATTTAAAAAAAAGGGGGGGGGGCTTGCACTAGAGGGAGGTCCAGGTCCCAGGCCCAAAGCTTTGTCCTTCCTCCACCAAGAGTTGCCTAAGGCCCAGGTACCTGGAGAGGGTGTGGGGGGCCAGGGCCGAGTCAGTGCCGGGCAAGCCTGTTCAGCAAAGCCCAAGTCAGCGCGGGTGCTGAGCAGCTGGGGCCGTGGCAGCCCGGCCCGTTTCACTCTCTGCTCAGACCATGCTGTAGTCAGGAAGGAGCCAGTGAGACTGCTCTCTCCGAGTTGCTCTGCATTCTCTTCTCCCTTAAAGGTGACGCCCAGAATGCCCTGTGGCTTCTGGGTTTGTCCTCAGATGTGTTGCATGTGGCCTGACCCTCTGGGGGTCCCTGGGCTGTGCTGCTGCCCTGTGGGGATGGTGCACCGGGTGGTGTTGAGGTCAGGGCCAGCCCTGGCCGGAGCCCATCGTCTCCAGCCTGTTTGGAACTTGGGAGAGCACAGAGGGTTCTGCTGGGGAACCCACCTGGTGACCTGCTGAGTCCTGAACACCCAGCCATGTCCATCTCCCTGGGGCCCACAGGGCACTGGGTGAGGTCAGAGCCCCGCCTGTTCTGTGGTCACATGCAGGGCCACAGAAGGGGCCGCTGAGAGCATGATGAGCACTTCCAAATTTGGATTCATGGCTGGACTGACTTGGGGACCCTGTGTCCTGTGGGGCTTGCTCATCCTGACGTCCCCACACGTGTGCTTAGAGACTGTCACGGGACCTCTCAGGACAGTTGCTTCTGCTTACTTTGGGCTGTGATAGGCTTTTGGCAACATGAGTTAGCCTTAAAACCTGGGAAGCAGAGCACTGAGTTGGAAGAAGGCAGCTTTCGAAGCCAGATGCACTTGGGTTTAAATCCAGTGTCTGCATATTCCTGGCTGCATGACCTTGAGCAAGTTGCTGAATGTCTCTGGGCTAATTTCCCATCTGTAAAATGCAGATATAATTATACTTATTTCCTTCAGTTCCTGGGGTGATTAAATAAATAAATATATAGTGCCCATAGTATGTAAGTGTTAGGGACATGTTAATTAATGCTGTTGAGCCTCAGTTTCCCTCTGTGTAAAATGAGGACTGAGAGTAATACTAGTAATAATGAGGAACGGTAGTAATAGTGGTAATTATTATTCTGGTGCTGCTGTGGCACCGGAGCATGAGCTAGACACAGCCACTCTCATTTTTATCTTTGTTGGCCTGCCACGGTTGTGGTCGGCAGTGACACATCAGCTCACATCTGCCGAGAGCTTTCTGGTGTTGACGCCATCCTGAGCACTGAACGTTTCTTGGCTTGCCTCTCTGTGGTTTGAGGTAGATGCCATATCTATTCCCGTTCATCCGGTGAAGAATGGACACTCAGAACCGAGGCACCTTGTCCCAGCCACGCAGCTTGGGACAGCCATGACTAGAGCCCATGAACTCTGAGCCTGTGGCCTCTTCGTGGTGCCACTGGCCATTGTCCCCTAAAACCACAGCTCCGGGTCTCAAGTAAACCCTGAGGACCCCTGGTCCCAAGTAAACCCCCCCTGGGTGCCCTCTGCTTCTGTGAGGGTGATCAAGGGGCTGCAGACTCAGATCCCCTGCTCATTTTGGGGTCTTTCTGAGCCCTCTGATGGGGGCCAGCAGCTGCCCCCTCTGTGTCCTGGGAGCCCTGCCTTGTCCAAGGGCACCCTCACCTGTACTCACCCAGTCTCAGCCCCGTGGGTTCCAGTCCTCTGTTCTCAAGCTTTTGCCGAACTGCAGGTGATGCCAGTCACGCGGTGACAGTGGCCGGGCTCCAGGAGCACACGTGCATTTGCTGGCCCTTCCCCTTCCAGGCCTGCCCGATGCTTCCCTAGGTGCACTGGCAGGACAGGGCCCCAGTGAGCATCTCCCCATGGTCCTTGAGGCCCAGCTGAGCAGGGGTTGAGGCCCGTGGCTCTGTACGGGGCCCTCCATGTCCCCACCTGAACACTCGTGTCTGGTCGTGTATTTATCAGAACTTGTGCAGGGCTTGTCCCCACCGGGCTGCCCTGTTAGGCCAGAGACCTGGATGGCCGCATTGTTCTCTGACATGCAGCAGGGGTCCTGTCTGGTGAGTGGACCCTCCAGGTTCAAGGCTACAGTGAAAGCTGCCTTCCCTGAGGGTGGTGGCCCTTGAGGTCAGAGTCCAGGTGGATTCTCCTCTGGTCCTCCTGCCAACACTGATTTCCCATTGGGGCTGCCTGGGCTGAGGAATGTCAGAACTCGGTTGAAGAAGCTTTAAAGACGAAGGGTGTCAAGTCCCACTGTCAGACCCTGTCATTGTACTGGGTGTGGCCTGGCCTGGGGCTCCCTGGGTGAGTCCAGAAAGCAGGCCAGGCTGAAGAGCAGGCTCGCCTCAGCAGCCATCCTCCCCCAGCTGCCCCCCCCCCGCAGGTGGGAATCAGCTCCTGTGACCCTGGGCTGCCTGCACCTGGGAGAACCACCTGCCACCAGGTGGGAGCTGGCGTGCTCTCTCCCTGCACGCCCCCGGGGGCTCTCGGGAACCGTGGTGCTGTTGGTGTGGATGCACATCCTGGGGTCCCTGTCAGGCAGCTGCCTAGTGTGATGAGGAGAGAGGTGGTGAGAGTGGGCTTCGTGTCTCGGAGCTGATGGGGCGTGAGTAGTGTTAACAAAAGGGATGCGGTGACGAGCAGGACGTAACACTGGGAGAGGAGTAGCACCCGTAAGCCACGACCAATCATTGTGTGGGCCGAGCGCAGTACAGGCATCTGACACAGCCCTCTTCAAGCCCCTCATAACTCTGGGGAGTGGTGTCATTATGATTCCACCCTGAAGATAAGAGAACTGAGGCTCAGAGAGTTTAAGCACCTTGCCAAGGTCACCCACTGGACACCGGTGGAGGTGCCTGGGTCTCTAGGGAAGGAGGGAGGTAGGGAGCAGTGTGGGGGTAGTAGGGACCCAGGCCTCTCTGGGCCAGGGTCAGGAGCCCTGCCTAGCCCCCAGACCTTCAGGAGCAAGTCTAAACGCTCCCAGGGACCCACCTTCCCCTTCCTGACGTGGTCCCTGTCTTCCCTTCCCGTCTCGGCTCAGTGGATGCTGATGGATGCCGTGGTAATGGGAATTCATGTCCCTCCTGCCCCAGGCTGCTCTGTCCCCACTCCCTGTCCCCCGTCTCTCCGCCATCCCCACTCCAGGAGGGGGAATCTCTGTCCCGTTGGCTCCCCTGCCAGGAGCCCAGCTTCTCTACCTCTCAAAGGGTCAGATGATGGAAGCTCTAAAGGCCTCCCTGTGGGGAGAGGGAAATGGAGATGGGGCTGTAGGAAGCTTTAGAAGGTAGTTAATGATTTTGAGGAGGGAGGAAGGGACCCAAGGAGCAGACAGTGGTTCAGTTCCTCTGGGTTCTAGAGAGTCCCTGACAAGTGATGGGAAGGTGAGGGGGTGGAGCTGTCGATGAACAGAGGTGGTTTGCTGTCTCCCAGGTGATCCCTGGAGCTGCCCCAGAGAGGAGAGAAGTCACTAGGTGTGGTGCACACTATGACCCTCCTCTCTTCTTTCCCCCATGGTTAATCTTTCCTGGTTATTTGATTAGGTTCCACAGCAACTGCCCTCTTCCTGGGAAGGGAACGCCCCTTAGACAAGGGCAAACTTTAGAGAAATTCAGAGAGAATCTTCACCTTCCTTAAGAGAATGTAGTTCAAAGATGAGGGAGAAATGGGGACGCTTTGGGTCAGGGAGGTTAGAGAGACTTTGGTCTGTGTGTTCGATTGAGCACAAGGGGAAACAGAAGTGCCCGTTGCTGGCCAGAGGCAAAGCCACCAAGGACAGCTGTACTGCCCCGGCAATTATCTAGCTCCATAAAACAGTGAAGGTCATGGACATTTGAGGCTTAAAAACTGCATTTGCGAATGCGCACAGGAGGCTTGAGGGTTCCCGAATACCACACTGCCTCCCTCCTTCCCTCCCTGCTCTGGCCTTCGCAGGCCCTGTCTGCTCTGCAGGACAACCTGCCCATCACAGATGTCCCTAGAAAAGTTGCACAAGCCCCATGTGGTCCTCCCTGGGCACCTCACTCTCAGCCCTGCAGAGGGGTCCCTGGTGGCAGGTTCCTCTCCCGTTTCCAGGCCTGCCAGAGGGAGTGACATCACCCACGGAAAGGGGTCTGACTGCCAGGCGAAATGCTGTTCTTGGAATCAAATGTGTCTGCCATTGGAAACACACAGTGGAAGGGCCCCGTCCTTTCCAGAAGGACCTGGGTCCGGGGAGCCCAGCTCCTGTGTCTGTGGCTCAGCTGGGCTGACTCACGTGGCCTCTGGTACTTCCATCAGATGTGGGTGGGGCACACACAGAGGAGGGGCCTTCCTGAAACCAAGCAGTTGTTTTACTTAGAACCTTTAAAAGTGATTGCTTCAGGGTGGACCTCTGCCAGGAACCAGCAAAGATCAAATGAAATACACTCACAAAGGCATTTCTAATTTAAAACAAAATAAAAAGTGTCTCAAGCTCTTGGAGGGGACAGGTTCCTGTCCTGATGTCAGGGAAGCTTGGTAGCCTACCAACCAGCTGACCCTTCCTGGTCACCCTGGCTCCTCTTCCTCACCCCTCCCTGTTGTCATCACCACCCCCCTGGCGACAGCATGCTGTATGCATGTTTTAATTAACTCTCATTGCTGTGACCAAGACATCTGACAGGCACAACTTAGAGGAGGCTCACAGTTTCAGAGGTCTCAGTCCACAGATGGCTGACTCCATTGCTCTGGGCCCAGGGTGAGACAGCACATCACGGGGAAAGGGCCCAGCAGAGGGGAGTTGCTCAGCTCATAGCAGAGTCAGAAAGCAGAGGGTCGGGGGAGAAGGAGCCACAGGGGAGACATACCCTTCCAGGATATGCCCCCAGTGACCCACCTCCTCTAGCCAGGCCCACTTGCCTATGGTTACCACGCAGTCAGTCCATTCAAACTAGTACGAACTGATCAGGTCACAGCTCTCATAACCCAGTCATTTTCCTCTGAATGTTCCCCAATCGACAGGATATTTTGGGTGACACATCGTATCCAAACCATAACATTCCACCCCCCGCCCCCTAAAGCTCATGTCCATCTCTTGATGAAAAGTGCATATTCTGTTCAACTGTAAGAGACCCAGAGTCCTAGGATGTTTAGCCTTGCCCAAGTCCACTGTCTCCTCTGAGACTCGAGGCAAACTCTTGGCTGTGAGCCCCTATAAAAATGAAGAAGCAAGTTACAGATACCCAATATACAGTGGCACAGAGTAAACACGCCCATCGCAAAGGGGAGGAACAGGGGCCAGAGAAAGAAGGGACGGGACCAAAACACGACTGAAAGCCAGCTAGGCACACGGGGCCTGTAACTCCGCACACACGTCCAGGACACTTGGCTGTGAGACGTGATTTTCAAAGGGCTTCGCAGCCCTGCCGCTTTGGCCTGGCCCGCCCCAGCTCACGTGGCCTCTCTTTTAGCCTGGCTCACTCCGCGGACAGCAGCTTTTCTTGGCAGACTGTCCACGTTACTGGCATTGCTTAATTCCTGGGATCACCTTTCAGCTTTACATCCCCAGCTTCCTGCATTGCCCACTAGGGGGCAACTCTCAGGGACTCTGACTCCTGACCTCCCAGGCCTTCCTTTGAAATCTCAGTAGAAATGGTGAAACAGTTGGGTGTGATGGTGCACGCCTATAATCCTAGCAACTGAGGAGGCTGAGACAGGAGGATCATAAGTTTGAGGCACGTTGGCGACTTAGTGAGAAGACCTCAGCAAATTAGCGATCCCCAGTATCAAAATTAAAAAAAAAAAATGAAAGGATGTAGAGGTAGCTTCATGGTAGAATGACCCTGGGTTCAATCCCCTGTACAAGCAAAATAAAACAAAACAAAAATGGTGAAATAACTGCCTATGTACCCCCTGCCGCCATGTGAGCAGGGCACCCCCACGATCTCTTTTCAAAGGAAATTTTTCCTTCTACACCCGTGAGCCTGTGATGGCTGTTGGTCTTCCAAATTCCTGAGACTCCCTTGCGCCATCTTTCCCGTTGTCTCCGTAAGAAAGTACTTAGCATCTTTTTAGGGGTTATAATCTCATCAACAAGAATGACTTTCTTGGATCCATTTTTATAAGCACGTCTCTGTTCAAACTACAAGTTTTTAAAATCCTTCAGATCTATTTTCTGCTCCTGATTCTCATAGTAAACCTGGCTAAAAGCTGCTAGTAATATCCATGTCACTAACTGAATGCTGTGCTGCCTTGAAATTTCCTCTTCCTGATTAATTAGCTCATCATTTTTAAATTCAGCCTCACCAAAGTTTCAAATGTAAACAAGTTATTTATCAGAATATACCATAAATGGCCTTTGGTCTATCAATAGAGTTCCCATTTTCCTCTGAAACCTCACGAGCACAGTGTGCATTCCTATTGGCATTCTGGTCTTCTGAGTTCCCACGGGAATCCCCCATTAAGCTTCACTTACAACATTCCACAACTTTTCCAGCTTGCATCTCTAAACTTTTCAAAATTTCTCCTACAAACTCCAAAGGCTTCTGAGCCACATGGTCATGTTAGTCACAGCAATGACCCACTTCTCAGTACCAATTTCTGTTTTAATTAACTTTTCATTGTTCTGACCAAAATACCTGACAAAAACAACTTAGAAAAGGAAAAGTTTATCTGGGGCTGAAGTCTTAGTCCATAGACAGCTGACTCTATTGCTCTGGGTGAGATGGTACATCATGGCAGAAGGGCCCAGCAGAAGATAGTTGCTCAATTCATAGCAAAGTCAGGAAGCAGAGAGAGGAGGAAAGGGTCTACAGTGAAGGTGCACCCTTCTAGTTCGTACCCCGATTGACCCACTTCCTCTAGCCATATCCCACCTGCCTACATATACCATGCATGCAATCCATTAAACTAGGATGGACCAATGAGCTTACAGCACTTGTACTCCAATTGTTTCACTCTGAATATTTCTGAATTAACAGGAGTTTGGGGGGATATCTCATATCCCAATCACATAATGCACATTATTTTAGAGCTCTATAACCAGGCACATATCATTATAATCTCCATTTGACAGATGGGGACATTGAGGCACAGTGCAGTTAAGTGTTCAACCTGAAATTGTTCAGCCAGGAGGAGGGGCAGCTGATGTACTGGAACCAATACCATCTGGTTCCAAAGCCATTCCTCTCACCCCAAGGCCATGATACACTTTGTCTTACGTCCTATGACATTTGTAGCTAAAGATCTACATTCCACCATGGTGTTATTTTCCACTAACCCACCTCTGAAGCAGCGAAGACAAGCAGGTCCTACTCAGGCTCAGGGGTTTGTGTGGAGTGATTTTGCAAGACCAATAAGTTCACTTTGTGTTTCAAAGGCATCACCTCCTGCAAAAGATCATGAGTGTTCTGGGTGGTAAGAGAGAGCCACGGGGGGACACTT